GTGCTCAAAACCCAGAGATCTGACTCCTCCCTGCCTGGCCAGCCCTGCCCCTGGGGGACAGGAAGGCACCCCCACTTCCCAGACAAAGAAAGCAAGGCTCCTTCCAGAGGCGAAGGGGTTGAATCCCAACAGTGTGCAAGAGGAGGGGGAGCCGGGAGCCATCTCTGGTGCTCCTTCTCACATACCTTCTTTTACTGCTACCAGTTAGCCAAGAAAATTAATAATGCTAAATTTTCTACTTCTCTGAAAGCATTTTTGGCCATCCCCTACACAATGCCAATAAGAGGAGAAGAAGAAAAGAAATCATTCCATCAATAGCACTGGCTTCTTGGGTACAATTCTAATTAAAGTTAGACTGCTGGGGGCCTTCTGGAAAGGGCTAAAAATAAACTAGGGGCATTTTTAGATTGGGGGAAGAGAGTTGGGGGGCAGCTGCAGAGTGGGGGCGTGGGTGTGAGCCCAGCAGGGTGCCAGCCCCAGGAGAGGCCGCTGGCTGTGACTTCCAGTGCAGGGAAGACCTGCGCCTAGCCTCTCCCCACGTTCATTTCTCTTTCCCTCCTCGCCTTCCCCTTTGAATAATGTGTTTGCTGCTACTTCAATCTCAGCCCCTGCTCTCCGCATTAACATGTATATTGCTTGGTTAAGGGCTATCTGGCCGGTTGGTTCTAAATAACTGGAAAATGACAGGAGGGTGATGGGGGCAGGATGAATGAGGGGCTCGTCAAGAGCTCCTGACCGCCTTTGTCATTTATAAACAAGTGCCCAACCGAGTTCCGCAATTACAATTGCCACTGCGCTGCTCTCCTAAATCGGGTGGGCTACAGCCCACCTGGGCTTGTCTCCTGGAACCCTCCATTTCCAGGCCCAGCCCCTGACGATGCAGTCCCTGAATCCACTCCCAACCTCAGTTTGTTCTTCCCCTGGGCACTGCGGGTCACAGTCACTGTGACCCCCAGGGACCTTACAGCCTCCAGAGACAGACACTGATCAGAACTTGTGTTTGGTGCATTCAGTGCCAGGACAGAGTGTGGGCAGGGCAGGGTGTTCTAAGAGCACAAACAAGGGACACTTCACCCAGAAGGGTCCTGATCCAGGAAGGCTTCCTGAAAGAAGGGACCCCCAATTGGAGTGTGGATAAACAAATAAGTGTTAGCCGAATGAATTAGTAATTCCAGTCCATGATCCCTTCACTGCAGGGACCATTGCTTCTTGCTGTTTAATTCCCCTCGTGGCATTTCCCACTCGCACATACATACCTACATCCACAAACAAATGCATAAATCCAAAATACAGACATATTTTGGTTATTTGTTCTCTAAGTGCGTCTCTCTCCACTACACTGTATACTCCAAGGGACCAAAACACTGTGTCTTGTTGACTGCTGCAACTTCAGCAAGGAGCGCTATGTCTGGCATATAAAGGGAGCACAGTAGTATTTGCCGAATTAAAAGATGGACTGATGGATGCGAGAGGGTGTTTGAGGCAGAGACACCAGCATCTGCAGAAGCGTGAGTCGTGAGACCAGGTGGACTCTGGGAGACCACACAAAGCTGCCAGGTCGGGAGCACTGGGTCCCTGCGGGATTGGCAAGAGATGAAATGATTGGGGTAGTCCCAGCCCAGACCTCGTGAGCTCTTTTAGGGAGGTCAGAGTTTAACTGCAGGGCAATGGGTGCCACTGAAGGAATTGCAGCAGGGAGTGTCACGACTGGGTCTGCCCATTAGAAAGATTGCACTCATGGGAAAGAGGGTGACAGGCGGGAGGGCTGTGTGGCAGCTGGGAAACTAGCCAAGAGCCCGTTAGCTAGAGTCCAGGACAGAGGGAAGCTCAGTGCAGGATCCTGCCTGCTGCTCTCAGCCTGAACAACAGCCCAGCAGTAGGCTGCACAGCAGAACCTGGCCCCTGGGCTGGCTGGACTCGTTGAGACCCCGGGCAAGGTACAGATCTTGGCTGCTCCTTGGAAACATCCTGCAAGGAGTAAGAGAAAGGATGCAGAATAGAATAATGCCCAGTTGGGCAAAGAGTGCCTGGACTGCCCACACTACTGCCCTCTGGGGTAAGACCAATGACAACAGCCTATAGTCACAGGGCACTCCTTCCAAACCAGGGACGTGTTCCTGGCATCTGCTACATGTTCTTTAATCTTCACAACATGCTCTTGAAAGCGTCTGGCCCCACAGGCAGCGCTTGGCATCTAAGAGTCACACCGCTGCTGTTTCCTCTCCTTCTCACTAACATCATTAGCCAATCATCATCGATCCTTAGAACAGACACACGTGGTAAACAGGACAGATGTTATCAAAGCGTCACAGATATGGAAACTGAGGTTAAAAGGACATGTGATGTTCTCACAGGCCCATAGATAACAAGGGGCAGAGTAAGTGCGGAATCCAGTGTATGTGGTTTGGTGTGAGCATCCCTGAGAAGGAAAATTGAAAGGCAGTTGCCACAGAAGATGTTCAAAAATACTTTGGTGGATGATAAGGGAAAGTGTCACTTCTCCCAGGAGTCTCTGTTGTTTAAGGGAAGAAGATTGAACAAAGCCTTTGGGGTTGGCTTCCCACGCCTGGCCCCCCAGGGGACACGAGAGCTGGAAGATTCTCAGAGACCTGGCTTGTTGGAGGGAGGAGATGGAGAAGCCTTAAGTGGTCCCCAAGGCTGTATGCCTGGGCAGTGGCCAACCAATCAGACATGTCGAGTGTCCCACAATAGGCTGCCATTGCTGGCATTGCAGACATCATGACCACAGAGACACCCTTCACATTCTAGGCTGGAAGACACTGAACACTGTGCCTTTGCATAAGGCTGGGCCCTCCTGGCAGGCTCCTGCGAAGAAAAGAAGTGAGGGGTCTCTTTGATGAGGTTCAGAAATTCAGTGCAATAAGCCTCAACCCAGGGAAGTGTGACTGACTGATCACCCCAGCTTTACAAGGAAGAGCACTGAGGCCCAGAGAGGCAAAGCAGCCTGTCCATCCAGGACTCACTGAGGGAGAGCTGCCCCCCAGAGCACCTTGCACTCTGTCCTGTGCTGCCTGCTATTGGTGCAATGCAGACAGCAGGGGGGCATTCATGCATTTGGAAGAGGATTAGCCACAGCTTTTAACGGGAAACCCAGAGGCTCAAGGGAAAACGGTTTACAGGCAGCAGTGGCTCTTTGGGGAAACTAGGGAGGGCAGTGGCCAGGCCAGTGTCTCTGCCTCTGTGATGCGTTGTCATGTAAGCTGTGTCATGCACCCCAGCTCCTGAGATTGGGACCAGCCATAGTCAGAAACAGTCCATCCTCTGGACTGTATCAAGGAAGGAAGAAAAAATATTCAGGTCCAGACCTCGGCTCCAGGCACGTGGAAGGGGTGAAATAAATCATGGAAGGAATGAGCAAATCTGGGGAATTTGAACTCAGAATCCCAGCCGTGATGGGACTGGAAGAATATGGACCCTGGAGTCAGAATAACTTGGAATTCAATTCTGGTTCATCCACATACTATTCATAGCTGTGTGACTTTGGGTAAGTCCCTCAACCTCTCTGAATCCCCACTTTCTCCTCTGCAAGCAGAGGCTGAATAAGAACTCACTTTACATGTCTATGAAGCATACTGGAGAGACACTATGGGTGATGCCTGTCCCAGTGCCGGGCCTGTGTCAAAAGTCCCCTTTCTCTCACTCTCATAAGAAATACAAGAAATACATGCAGTCGTTCTGTTTGTTGAATGAGTGAGCAAATAAGGTCAGCGAAGCCCAGTCACGGTTTCAACCACAGCCATTCTGGAAACGAAGAGGTCTTTCTTAATTGTTTATTTTGTTTGTTTGTTTGTTTGTTTGTTTGTTTGTTACAGAGTCTTGCTCTGTTTTCCAGGCTAGAGTGCAATGGCATCAGCCTAGCTCACGGCAACCTCAAACTCCTGGGCTCAAGCCATCCTCCTGCCTCAGCCTCCTGAGTACCTGGGATTACAGGTGCACCACTAGGCTTAGCTAATTTTTTCCTGGTTTTAGTAGAGATGGTGTCTCACTCTTGCTCAGGGTGATCTCAAACACCTGAGCTCAAGCAATCCTCCCGCCTTGGCCCCCCAGAGTGCCGGGATGACAGGCGTAAGCCACGGAGCCCAGTCTTTCTTAGCTGTTGAAATAGAGTCGTCAATACAACCAAAAGACCTCCCACATTCTCCTCTAACTTTATCTCTCTGTTTCCTCCTCCAGAATCAGGCACCTCCCACGGACAGCCATGTCCCAAGCTCAAAAATGTAATTAGAAAAAAATAATTTTGGCGGCAGCTCATCTATAACCCGCCCTGAAGCCCTTCCTTGGCGGAAGGAGGCAGTCCATCAGGGGCTGTGAGTGATGGGCCAACCAGCAGACCACGGCAGGGAGGAAGCCCCGCTCCCATCTGTCATCCCTTCTCCCTCGCTAACCCTGCCGACCGCAGGGTAATGCACAATGGGCCCTCCAGGCCTGCAGGCGGGTGCCAGCTCTCCATCAACCTCAGCGCCATTTCAACCTTTCAACCGCATGCACTACCCCACCTCCTTGCCCCTTAGAGCCAAAAAGTCAGTGGTCATTAAGACCACTCTTATACCTAACTCCATTTTCAATAAATCAACCAAGGACTTACTCTATATGTGATGAGGAATACCAAAGGAAAAACATTAGCATTATATTATTTATGTTACTGTGACTTTGCGGAATGTTTCTTCGCCCCTATCAAATTGTTTTTCTAGCCACTATCTCCTGAGTCAGGCAGGCAGGAACTACTATCGCCATTTCACAGATGGAGAACCTGAGACACAGGTTAAGCCTCTTCCCGTTTTCATACCATTTATACCCTCCCTACGTTCAGAAAGGATTTTCCGTGGCTTAAAATAAAACGATATTTACATAATGACTAGCATTTGAAGTTTCGCTGTAGAAACATTTCCACATTTGGTCAAAAACTATGCGCAGAACACATGTTATGACAACTGAAGTGATTCAATTTATGAAGAAAATCACCATTTGCAGGTTTTATTTCCTCAATAAAGTTATATTGAACATTTAAAAAAAACATAACTACTGTACTTGTATACATGTGACTATAAAATAAAGATGCAAAAGGAATCAGAAATCATGTAGGCAAAGGAGGAGATGTTGTTCTGCCAAGAAACAGAAATAAGTTCTTCCCTGTAACTAGTCTTAAATTGGTCTCTGGGTTTCCTAGTAGGCAAAGTAAAAAAGGGAACACAATGTGTTGCAAGCTCTTACTGTCAGGTGAAAGAAAGAGAGTAGAAGAAACAACTGTTTCCTACCATTGAGTTCTAAACCAAATTTATCAGTGGAATTATATGAAAATGAAATTGAGCAAGATATTAGATTATATCTCCAGCAGTGATCATCAAAGGATATAGAAGCACCCTTCATACCCAGACTTGTCATTTGAATCTTAAATTAGACACAGTGCTCTGCCCCCAGGACAAACGTCTCACAGAGATCTACATTTTTTGATCCCCTATAGCTGTTGGATAAACTCTTCTCCCTTCCTCGACTCATAGTTTTTCAAGAGTGGTACACATTCCTAGTTTCCACATCACACCTCCTATTCACTTCTTAATTTGTGAAGCCAAACTTCTGCCCCGACTCTCACCTAAAGATAGTTCTTCAAAATGACTTCCTGGTCACCGTCCATAGGCCTGTTTATGACTTTTATTCCTCTGCAGATCTTCGCTCAGGTGCTATAACAAAATACCAGAGACCAAGTGGCTTAAACAACAGGCATTGATTTTCTCACTGTCTGGAGTCTGGGAAGTCCAAGATCAAAGTGCCAGGCAGTTTGGTTCCTGGTGAAGGCCGGCTTCCTGGCTCACACAACCAACCTTGTCCCTGGGTCCTCACTTGGCTGAGACGAGGTGAGTGGGGCAAGGGGAGAGCTTTGGTCTCTTCTTATAAGGACACTGATTCCATCATGAGAACTCCACCCTCATCTAAACTCATCACCTCCCAAAGGCCCTACCTCCAAATACCAACACATTAGAGCTTAGGGCTTCAATATATGAATTTGGGAGAAACACAAACATTCAGCCCATAACACTGGGACTCTGAGTGTCATGGGTACTTCACTGTTCTCAGTCCTGGGAGAGCACACTGCCCTGGTTTTCGCCTCCTGGTGCCTGTGGCTGTTTGTTCTCCAGCTTTTCAAGGGGCTTCCGGTTTGCCTTTTGATGTCCTGAGGCCCCTGGATGCAATCTCCCTGGGGGAGCTCAGGTGCTTTCAGAGCAGGGACCACCACTCCACGATGAGGAGCTCCAAATCCCCGCCTCTAGCCAACTCTCCTCCCTCACTCCCCCATCAGACGCATCCACACACTGATGCCTGCTGGACATCTCCACCCAAGCACCCGGGTCTCTGACTCAGCCTTCCGGAAAGACCCACCCCTGCTCTGTCCCGGCTCCTCCCAGAGCCTCTGGCTCAGTCTGGGTAGCAGAGCCAGCCAGCAATTCCTCCTACTTCACTCCCTACACATTTTTCAAATGTGTCCTCTTCTCGCTGTCTCTTCTCCTCTGGGACGACTGCCACAGCCTCTCAATCCATCTCCTGGCCTTCCTCAAGAGCATCCCTTAAATTGATGCCAGAAAAAACACAATTCGGAACATGCACCTCCTCTGTTTAAAAATTTAAAATGATTCCTCATCACTTACAAGATAAATTCCCAGCCTGCCTACCAGGGCCTGGGAAACCCACCGTGATCCATCCCAAACTCATCTCGAAGTGCTCCCCGCCCAGAGTGCAGCAGCAATAAATCCGCCTGAACGTGCCTGAACGCCAGTCTCCGCCCACAGGCCACACAGCTTCAAGCTGCCCGCCTTTGCTTAAGTGACTCCTCCACCTGCTTTTCTCTGTCTTCCAGTAGCATCTCTGACTCAGGTCGGCTGCACCTTCTGCTTAGGAAACTTCCTGTCTCAATAACTGCGCGACCACAGTGCCTTAGTTTTGATTGTTCTTGTGTGTCTCCCCACATGCAATGAGGAATTTCTGCACCAAACTGACCCTGATTCATCTCTGTAGCCCCTAGCCTCTGGCTGAACACTGCATATAGAGCTCACATCCAAATGTCCAATGAATAAATAAATGTGGGAATGAATGAAGGAATGGTTTCTTTATAGAAGAATTAGGACTGGACTCCAGATCTCCTTCATCTCATATCAAAACCCTTTCTCTCTTACTCTCTGCCTTACCATCCTTAATCCATATTCTCTCTCTTCAACTCATGCAGGAGAAGGGGAGGGTGATGTACAGCGATCTGAGAAGCTGATCAGGGCATGGACCATTTCCTCACCCTAAGCAGCATCCCCAGAGGAAGACGACAAAGTCAGCAGGGAGCGGGATGATAGAAGGGCCAGGCCAGGACTCCAGGGACAGGAAAAACATGTAAAAGATGGGGCTGGGGGCTTTAAAAGGAAGAGAAGAGGGCAGAGCTCCAAGGAGTGGGGAAGTTGTCTAGGAGAAGACTAGACTCCAGCAGAGTTGAAGAGGGAAGCTGTAAGGAAGACTTGAAAGACACGACCAGGTTGGAGCAGGACAAGGATGCTTTAAGGAGGGAGGAGGGGCATAGCTGGGGGTCTGAGGACAAGAGGTCCAGAGAGAGAGCTCAAGCCCAGGCAGTCTGCCGGGTGACTTGCAGAGCCAGGGAGATGCATGTTCAGGTCAGGAAGGTCTCTGCATGTTCAGGTCAGGAAGGTCTCGTGGATGGCAAGCAGTTGACCTTCCTTCCACCTATCTCCTTTCTTTTCTTTCTTCTCCTCTCCTTTGTCTTCTGTTTCTCAGGGAAAATACAGTCAAGGCTAATTGTTTCCTCTTCCCAGCTTCCCAACAAAATTACACCCACAATTCACCAATCCTGAGAGCATCTTTGCTCTTTCACACATGTGCAGCTGGGGACCCTGCACGGGGGCTACAGGGATAGTGAGAGCCCCTCACTCTGATGCTGGCCCCCATCTCTCTGCTTTTGTAGAAGGTCCCTTCCGCCAGGCCATCAGACAGACAGAAAGTTGCTCAGGGCTTGATAGTGGAGAGTTAATCTTGGGCTGGAGAGATGTCTGGTGGGGTAGGCCAAAAACGAGAAAACATCCCCCCTTTTATTCATGACAATGGCATCAGCCCAAACCCAGGGACCTGCAATTCAGTCTTGGTTTTTCCAATAACTCCTTGTGGTCTAAAGGCCCCTCATCTTCCCATGAAGATGAAGTTACTAGTGCACACCTCGATGTCACCGTGCTGTGAACATCCACTGACACCCGTAAACTCTCATATTCCTCAGGGATCATCACAGTGGCTAGTGTGATCCTTGTCATTTTCGAGTCCCAGAAAAGGACGCTGTGTGAACCAGGTGGACTCAGCTGGACTGGGATTGATTCCTGCCTCTACGCACGGATTTGGTGATTTGAGGGACGTGACTTAACCTTTCTGAGCTATTTCTCAAATGCTTGTTCTCAGGGTAAGCTCTTGACGGATACCTTTTCGAGGTGCTTTGTGTCATATCTTACTGTCCCTTGTTTCCTTCCCACAAAGTAACTCAGTCAATCCACAGCCAAGGTGGCAGCCAAGGTGGCAGCCAAGGTGGCAGCCAAGGTGGCACAGCCAAGGTTGACAGATACCTTTTTGAGGTGCTTTGTGTCATATCTTACTGTCCCCTGTTTCCTTCCCACAAAGCAACTCAGTCAATGCACAGCCAAGGTGGACTTGCCCAAGTCACTCTTGGTGAGATCGGAATATTGGGGCCACTGGTGGAGGGAGATTCTCAGGGCTGTGGCCACTTGCTTGGCCTCCAGCAGGTGCCAGACACTCTGGGTAACAAACAGTGCATAGGTCTCATTAAAGGAGCTTAGTTTCCAAGCAGAGGTTAGTGCCTGGACCTTGGGCCAAGTTATGGAAATAGTAATGATGATACGATGCTGTATTAATACCATATTTCATGCATGTAATATGCACTAGGCCCTGTACTAAACACTATACATTAATTATGTCATTTAATTCTCAAAAAGCACCATGTGAGGTGGTACTATTATTATCTCCATTTCTTATAGTGGGAAACTAAAGCACGAGAGGGAATAAGTCATGTGCCCAACGCTTATAGCTCTAACTCGGATGATACAAAGGCAATATATGTAAACAAAGCGTTTGTATCCCCATAATATTCAGAAATAAAAATTAAAATAAAAGTAATGTGCCTAAGGTCACACATCTAAAATGTGTCAGAGATAGACTGTAAACCTCAGCAGTCAAATTTCAGATCTATGCTCTTAACCACTGTACTTTATGGGCCAGGCTGGAGTGGGACAAGAATCTGAGACTCTTTGAAAAGCTGAAGTTCCTAGGGTTCCATTACAGTGGACACTTTGTGCTGGGGACCCCCCAGCACCCACTCTTCACTGTCTCCGTCAGCAGAGCCCCCCTACCCTCTAGAGAACTGCCCCAGCCCTGCCTGGTTCATTCCACTTTGGTAGAGCTGTCTAGTGGGGCTCCAGGTCCCCTGGGGCTCGGATTGTGACCCAGACTGGACCGCTCAGAGTTTTTTCCTGGAGTTTTCACAAATTAGAGGTGAATAAATTGCTCTTTCTTTCTCCTTGGATTTCCAGGTGTAAGGATATTGCTCCAGAGTTGCCCAGGACCAGGTCCTCAATCAAATGCAGAACATAAGACAAGGGAGTCAACATAAAGTTGGAAACTGACCTGACAGATGACACGAGAGGGACGGAAACTTTGAGAACAAGGGTGGGAAACGTTCTGACTATCTGTGTCTTATGCCATCTCTATTCCTGATTATTTGGTTGATTTTGTTTTTTTCCTTAAGCTAGTATGAATTGGGTTTCTGTGACTTGAGACTGCAAGTGTCATGACTGATGTGTCAACCCTCCAAAAAGATTTTAGAGGAGATCCCATACCCACCCCCTCCTGTCCTAGCATCTCTTAGAAGTTCTAAGAGATGCTTAGAGAACAGAATATTCTTTATTCTGTTGGAACAGAACTCTAATTTTTTATGTCCATGGCTATTCAGGTTCTGCAATACCTTTTTCTAGAACTGAGGTTAAGAGGATCTGCCTTTGGTCCTGACAATGACCTTGTTGATTACAGTAATCTTATTATCACTGACTTATCGAGTGCTAGCTATGTGTCAGCATGTTCCAGCTCGTGTAATTCCCATCACAGTCCCGTGAGAGACAGCCTAGTGCTATCCCCATTAAACAGATGAAGAAAGTGAGGCACAGACAGGGTTAAGGAACAATAGGCAAGTGGCACAGCTGAGGTTCAAACTCAGACCTGTGTGACTCTCGGAGTCCCGACCCTTACACTCAGACATCTCCCAGGTGGCATCTGAACATAAGGCCACACAAAGCTTGTGACAAACACAGCCCTCGTGAAAGGGAATACAGAAAACCAGAGCTGAGCAAGCAGATCAGCTGCCACCTACCCTGATGGCCAGAGGAGGGGGCATAACACCTCAAAGAAAATCAGCTTCCAAAAACAAAGCGCAGGAACATAAACATCGCAATAAGCCTTAGGAAAAGGCTGTGTTCTGGAAAACCTGTTATTTAAACGGTTGTCGTTTTCGGGATCCAAATGTCCCATTGTGGGCTTTCAGCTCCGTCGCAGATCTCTGCGATGAAATGGACTAAAAGCAATGCCATCAGCAGTGTCCCCAGTCTAGCTGTCAATGGACGCCCTGCTCCAAGAGGCGTGAGTGCTCAGACCTTCAGCATCTTCACTGTTAAATCGAAATGGTGTTCCCAAGCCGGGGGCGGGGTGAGAGTCAGGGAGGTGGGAGGGGAAGCCCTCCGAGAGCCCCACATGACGGATGGGACATTTCCTGGATGGACAGACGACGTCCTTCCTTTACTGTGTTTTCTTTCCCCACCACACACACACCGACCTCCACACTCCGCCCCTGCCTCGGCGTGGTTTCACCACTCCTGCCACCTCACTTCCCTAAGTTAGAGGCCTCCCGTGGCCCCTGTGACTGCTGACTGGCGGCAGGAAGGCACCATCTGTCCTTGAAGCCATCCAGACAGCCATCAGCGCCTCTGTGCTCCGGCAGCGGGAGGCGGGAGCAAGCGTGAGGACATGCTCCCCTGCAAGACCCTGGAGTGTCTCCTACGTTCTCCATCTGCCAGTCTGCCAGGCAGCCCACGCGAAACGCTCCCAATCAGCCATCAAGGACACCCCCGTCCCCATCGCTGCTCAGGAGAGGAGCAGGCAAGATCTTTAGAGTCACTTCACTAGATGCTAAACCTTTTGTCATCAGATAATACCTACCACCCTTCTTTGTTGCATTTATTTATAGCCCTTCTCCTTCCAACCTTCCTATAGCCTTCCTCCTGGTGACTTTTACACTGGATCCATTAAACAGCCTAGCTTCTGAGCGGCAGGACAGCATTTTCAGTAATCAGCTCAGTAATCATCTCAGCCCGACCTCAGCCAACCACTCCGAGTCCACATCCCGGGTCTTATCATCACCACCCCAATATCGTATCCTGAGATCAAACATGCAACTCTGACCATCACCTCCAAAATCCCAGTTCTCTCGCTCTGATGCCTCTATTCCAACAATTTCGACCCTCCAGAACTTCCCAGTCATAGACCCTATGTGTTCTGACCATCACACCATTTATGCTTTCATTCCACGGCCCCTTATTAAAATCAATCCCCTACATAAATTATCAACTCTTTTCATCCCATAGCCATCTTGCAAGCCTCCAACCTTTGGTTAGATCCAACTCTCCACCTACCTCATCGCTGCAGCCAGATGAATAGAAATGATGAAAAACGCGCACACACCTCGAGTGGTCTTACCTTAAATCCACGACCGCAAACCCCCAGGAGTGTCGGCATTCCTTCTACATCTTCCTGTTCCGTTCATGCTGTGACTCTGTGTGGTGATCGTCTCACAGCTTGTCACTACTCGAATCTCCAACAGCCCTTCCAACGTCTTTGCTCTCAGATGATGGTCTGTTTCACCGAGAACCTGGAAGCAATCAGAGAAAATCTTTCTCTTCCAACAACCCCAGGTCCCTGCCTCTGTGCCAACAGGCTTTGCCTTTTCTTCTGTAACAGAGAACAAACTGTGACTGTGCCTAGTGAAGGTCAACACTTCCACTTGTCCAGAGGATCCTGTTGCCTTTCACCTGCACAGTTTTATTGGTGTAACTACTCTCTCTCCTGCTTCAATTTCCTTCTCTCTCTCTAGATCAGTACACTGCACACAAGCATGCTGAAATGACACCCATCTTAATAACAACAACAAAAATTCTCACTTGACCCCAGGTCCCTCTCTAGCTACTGCCCTATTCCCTTACTCCCTTAATAGTAAAATTCCTGGGGTTTTTCTGTCATTGTTATCTTGACCAATTCACCTTCCATTTTTCTCTTGAACTCTCTTTATGGAAGACTGTAATATTGCTCCCAACTATTGGCTCCCCTTCCTTTGTAAAAGGATTATGTGACTCTAGTGCCTTTCTGCGGGGGGAGCACACGACCCACCCCACGGCAGGCTTGGCCAGGTGGTTGGCGTGGTCCAAGAGAATCAGAGCGGAGCTGGCACAGACCACATTTGAGTAGAAGCTTATGAGGCAGGTCCCATGCCCGCCAGCAATCCTGCTCTTCCTCTTGGCCACAACAACAGCAACCCTAGAATAAAGCTACTCCTTCAGCCAGGGCTTCAACATGAGAAGTTACAAGGAACAGAACTGTAGCTGACCCACAGCCAGCAATAGTTGACAGAAACAACACAGCAACGACAACAAAACGGCGCTGTTCTGCAAGCCTTCCAGAGTTGCTGTCCATCGCTCCTTGCAGCATTACTGAGAAAACACTGACTTTCCCAATAGGCTCTTTTGTCCTTGTCACTCTATGGAAAAACTTCACATGTCAAAACCACTTGCATGTTATTAAACCCAGTGATCAACTATTGATCCCCTCTTCTGAACCTGTAGACGGCATTCAATACTGTTGATGACATGCCCTACAGGAAACACTTCCATTTCTTTGCAACTGGAGACCCACTTTTTCCTGATTTTCCTCCCACTGTCATGGCACCTTCATCAGTCTCCTTTGCTGACCCCTTCCCTTCTTCATAAGATATAAATGTTGAAGCCATACCTCTTCTCTACCGTTGTTTCCCTAGGTGATCTCATCCATCTGTGGCTGGGACTCCAAAATTAGTATGTCCAGCCCCTGCTTGTCCCCTGAACTCCAGGCTTGAGTATCTCATTTCTGACTCAGCGTCTCCACTTGCATGTCCAAACCAGTCCTATTAATTACCTCCCTGATCACTACCGCTAATGAATATGCTCTCTGCCACTCCTTCATTTCAGCAAGTGGCATATCACTGCCACCGCACACCCAGTGGCTCAGGCCAGAGGCCTTGACATCACATTTATTCCTCTCTTTCTCTCACACCCCATATCTAATCCTTCCAAACTCTTGCCCTTGCGCCAGTACCTCTCTCACCTCCTCGCAGGCTCTCCCCTTCCTGGACTGTTGGGATCGTCTCCATTCTGACCCCTCCTCCTCCCACCCCAACCATCCCTCACCATACCCCGCAAGCTGAGTATCCAGAATGGTCCATTGTTCTAAAAAATCTAACTTCATCTCATTATTGCCCTGGCTCAAAAGCCTGCAACGGTTCCCCATAATTCTTCCAACAAAAGCCAAAGCCGTTATGGACTCCAAGGCCCTACGAGATCTAGCTCTGGCTTCTTTCTAGCTGTTTTCTGTCACTTTCCCTTTTGCTTATGTTCCCCATTCGCACTGGCCTTCTTCATATTCTGTGTCCACCTCAGGGCCTTTACACCGACTGGACCCTCTGCCTAGAGCACTATCTTTTCTTTGCTATCCTCAGACTGGCCTCCTCATTTCACTCAGGTTGCGCTCAAATGTCATCTCTTCTTACCCATTGTACCTAACTAGCCACCTTCTCTCTGTTTTATTTTATTCCCCGACCTATGCACGTACGTCCCAGCCCTCAGCATTCATAGGAGATGGCACGGATTAGCAGTTAAGAGCAGGCTCCTGGCTTTGGCAATTAACTCCTCTGTGCGTCAATTTCCCCACTTCCCCATCTGCAAAACAGACATCAGAGTGACAGCACTCAGCCTAACGCAGCTTACACACATCGATACCTGCAAAACGCTTACAAAGAAACATGGCAGGATGCAATGGCTATTGGCTATTTCCAGCTGACACTGACTTCTCTAAATGTGCATTGTCTGTCTTCCCCACTAAAGCAGAAACTGTGTGTTTGTGGTCCACCACGTGGATTCCCAGCACATGGGAGGTGATGACGCTGTCCTTTGGAACCAGTCTTAAGAACCTGCACTTCATTTTGTACACTAGCTTTTAAAAGATCATATTTAAATTGGATTTTATTAAGTCTGATTCAACCCACCCTCCCTCAATCCCAGCATTACTTTATCATTATTTTGAATTGATCTTTAATTGATAATTTACTAAGTTTCCTCCCTCTCTCTCCTTCACTATAAAGTAAGGTAAGATTAGGGAAACTGAGAGCTGAAGATCCCCTACTTGAAAACAATGATTCTCTACTTTGTCTATGAGAATTTCAATCTCCACCTATAATATTTACATAAAACAGATTATCCCACCATTTGGGTTAATATTATGTAACTTGGCTGGTGTCACTAAAAGTAAATGTCATATTAAAATGATCATTTGTGACTTCCTGAATCTTTTGCTGATATCCTGTACCCCAATTATTATAAATAATAATAACCCCTCATATAGAAAGTAGGTGTGTGCAAAAGCAATCTTTGCCAACCATTATTTGATTTGATTTGATTTCATCTTCAGTACTACTGTAGAAGGAAAGAGGAGGCCCTTGTCATCAGACACAATTCACAGAGAAGAAAAAGGTCCTGCTCTGGGTTATCTGTGCCAGAAAAGGAATGGTCTACACAGCTGGCCCCAAATTCTCTCTCTGGTCCCAGGAATAGAATATCAGAACTGAAAGGACCTCAGAAACAGCTTGAACAGAAGAAAGAATGTTCCACTGTTATTAATCCATCATGGAACCTTGGGCAACACCCCTGGGCCTCCCAAGTAAAAAAGGTGAGATACTGCCTCACACCAGGTTGTTACAAAAATTAAAGGTGATAATGTTTACAAAATCTCCTGGCCCAATGCCTGGAACATAGTAGGTGCTCAATCCATGCTAGTTAGCTTTGAAATCCGAACCAAGTTCAAGGCTGCCATGTTATATAGGCTGTTCTGCACCCCCCCAAGTGAGATTAATTAAGTGCATAGGTAAGGCCTTTGATATGTTAAATGGTCCAAGTGCTGTGTGTTGGAAGCCACAGTCACCTGGAGAGATCTGGGAGCTGCCTCCTGGCCATGAGAACAGAGGCCAGACCTACAAACTGATTTCACATGCTTGTTTCTTATGCTAGAGTCAGCAGCGTGCCTGGGGTCTGCTCTCTGCCCCACTGTTCCTCCCTCTTCTCATCCTATCCTCAGTACATCAGACTGAAAAGCCAGGAAGGGCCACCCCCATCAGCACCACCAGCCCCAATGTGAATCCCACCCCAACCACAGATAAAGTCTCACTCACTTGCACTTCCATTTCCTTGCTACAGCACTTTGGACATTCAATAAATGGTAGCCTGTATGATTCTTATTATCACTGTTATTGAGTTTGTTTATTAATATTATTTGCAGGGCACACTGATATAACCATCCCCAGAGGTTCTCCACTGCCTCTGGAAAACACAAAAATGCATTGTCCAATGTGGGAAAGGTAAGTCTATTAACACTTGCCACACCTTGCTATCCGATCCAGCTGTGCACTACAATAAAATCTTAGGCCCCTCCAGCTGACTGAATGGACCACCTCTTGACCAACAGGTCCCCAAAAGTACCCTAAAGCTGAGTTGCTGGCCACGAGAAGGGACACACATAGCTAGTCATGTCCCCAACCCCCTTTTTGGAGATAGATATCCTTTGTAACAGAAGGCTGTTCAGAGCGGGGCATGAACCACACCTGCAGGTTCTCAATTTACTTAACAGATCTCTTGAGTCTATCTCTGGTGGCCTGTCTCTGATTAACAGACTTCCTTATCTTAACTTAAAACATTCCAAGCCTTTAAACAAAGCTTCATTTCTTTAACCAATTACAAATCAAAGAATCATTAAACCTACCTATATCCTGTTATCCCCCATTTTGAGATGTCCTGCCTTTGGGGACTAAACCAATATATGCCTTCCATGTATTGATTTATGACTTTACCTGTAATTCCTGTCTCCCTGAAATGTGTAAAACCAAGTTGTAATCCAACCGTGGTGAGACCACTGGCTCAAGGCTTCTTGGGCGTGGCTCTATAGGCCATGAGCACACAAATTTGGTTTAGAATAAACCTCTTTAATTGACAGAGTTTGGGTTCTTCTCTGTTGACAGTACCTTAACTGCTGGTTCCACTGTCTCTGTCCCCACTGGGATCAGGAATCACATCTTAGGCATCACCTGTAGTAACTAGCAGGTGTTCAGCAAACGTTCACTGGTGGCCAACTGGCCCATTCTTTTGCCAGATGCCTGAAGGCTCCTGACCCTGGCTCTGACTCCACAATGCATCCCATCTCTCCACTGACCTGACTTCCAGAGACACCCAAGATCAGTCTTCGCTTAAGCCTTTCCTGTGCTCCTGAACTCTGGGGGTGCACTTCCTCGTCTTGGCTGGCTTTGCTACCTGTGCATTCAAGTGCCATGGCAGCTCGGACCCTCCCCGCGTCCCCCATTCACCCAGCCTGAGCCTGGGTCTCAGAGCCTCATGGGACGAGCACAGGGTGTGGCAGGTCCAGGGCAGGGGCCCACCAACAGCCCCCTTCAGCTTGCTCAAGTATAAACTGATGAAATGATACCATCCTCAGAGTTGTCACAAAATCAGAAATAAAAGTGAACATGAGGGCCCCCGCAGAAGTCAAAGCTGTTCCACTAGAACAGCACATTTGTTCAGTCAGCCCTGCCTTTGACCGCAGCACAAAGCCCAAAATCATCCGGACGTCTCGCCCACACCAGCGCTCGGCCAATGCTGATGCCACGTGCTCCCTTCACCCCTCCGCCCAGGACACCTCTGTCCAGGTAGAGGGACGGCAGGCAGTGCGCCTTCCAGGCTGGCATTTCCTCAGACTGCAGAAACCCCCACGAGTGGGCGAGGCTGGGAGGAAAGGAAGGTGTAGGTGTTTCTTAGACATTGTCAAATAAGTGGATCAGCAAAATAGGAAGTGGCAGAGAGCAGAGACTGTCTGTGTTATTTCAAGCTTGTGATCACATCTCACATGCTCTGCTGAGCCGGTGAACAAAGCAGCCCTTGGAAAACCGGTGCTCGGCGTGGGCAGCGCTCAGCCCACCCGCCGGCAGCCCTGGCTCCGTTCCACCGGCTCGCCAGTGACGCTGACCTCCCCTGAGGGGGGCCGCGGTGGCCTCCTCCGCATCCTTGGGGCTCGCACTGCACATCCGTTCAATTCAGTGTGTACTGAGCCCTTACCAAGGCCACACAGCACGCTGATCCCTGAGAGAGCCATAGAAAAGAAGCGCCCTCTGTCCTTGCCCTCAGTCACCTCCCAGTCATGAGCCACGGCTGAGCATTCTCTCAGCCAGCACCTCCAGCCAGGCGCGTTCCTGCTCAAGAAACTGCAATAGCTCCCTACTGTTTTTGGCACCAAGAACCAACTCCTCAGCCAGACTTTGAAACAGCCACCCTCAACCTGGGCCCGCCTTGTCTTGCTAACTGTGACATGAGCCCTCCCTCCCTGCAGGTAAAATGTCCTGATTGTGCCAGAAACTTCCACACTCATGCATTAAATTATTCCCTAACTCATTCCCTCTCTCTCTCTGTCTCTCTCTCTCCCTCTCTCTCGCGCGATTATAAGGTGCTGAAGTGGACAGATTATTCAATTAAACCTGATTCACCAAATATTTACGCCCCCCACCACCCCCTGCCTGTGTTTGGGGGTGTGCTGACTGACGGGCTGGCCCCCGCAGATGGGCAGGCTTCCTGAGGAGAGTTTAAGCTACAACCCTACGCGAATCCCAGCACCGTGCCCTGCCCTCGGTGACCTGGGGACACCCCAGAAATCAGAGGAAATGACAATCTCTCCTCAGAGCCACCTTGAGAAACCGGAAGCCGTTTGCTCCCCTCATTTCAAAGACCAGGGATCCCAAAGTCACACCTGAGAACGCGGCGGGCGCCAGGTGTGCTGACGCTGTGACAAGCTCTCTCGCCCTGTGGGGCCGGGACCTGGCAGAGGAGCCGGGCCAGGCCGCAGAGGCTGGGTCTCCCCGCCAGGCAGGCGGGCGGACGCAAATGGGAACACTCGGCCTTCCGCACCAGGCCCCCCGGGCCCCCTACTGTCCAAGTCAAATGCTCACCTCAGTCCTACCCACACGCTGTCCCTGCCTCTTCTCCACAACCTGCCTCAGCCCGCCCTTCCTCTTCCTGAGCGACGCCGGGCGGGAGCGTGTGGAGCCGGCGCCCGCGTTTTGCACGTTTGACTGACGCCATCTAGTGGCCGCGCGGCGCACGCGCGGAAGCGTCGGCGTGCTCAGGTGAGGACTGGAGCGCCCGCCGCCCTGCAGGCTTCAGGATGGGCCCTCCGCGCTCAGTACGCGCCCAGGCACAAGGGCTTTCGAAATCTAAGCAGATTGAAGAGGTGCAAGGAAAGGAGAGGGAAGAAGGGAGAGAGGGAGGAGAGGAGGATGGGGAGGAAGAGGAGAAGGAAGGAGGCAGGAGAGAGGAGGGAGTCGCGATTTGGGGAGAGATCAGGGAATCACTGCAAACCCTGGGCCTGTAGGACGAAGAGAGGGCTGCGAGACACACGCTAGGCTAATAATAAAGAAGGGTGTGCCGGGGACTTCCCCGTCCCCCATCGCTGTTGCATGACCTGCAGGATCTGAAATAAGGAATTTGATCCTCCCACGGACCAAGAGGGAGGACGCCAGGCGCTGGGCCAAATACACCACAGCCCTTCAGCCCAGGAAGCACCTGTGGTCCGCCTTTACCTGCAGAGCTCACCTGCTCCCTGCACTCCTCCTTCTTAGTGACATCACACATCCCTGACCCCGCCCTCCATCTTTCTATCACCAAAGCAGCTCCCGGAGGCCAGACTGTTCACCAAGGCTGATGGCACGGGGGACAGGACCCCCCATGACCCCAGGGTGATGTGACAGGTGAGCTTCAGCTTCTCGCCAGCCCATCTCTGGCCCTCCCGCCCTGCCTTCCAGCCTCCTAGCTCCGTAGGGAAGAAATATCTTCCCGCTCGAGGAAAAAGGAAAAAAAAAAAAAAAAACTTGCCAGGGGGGTACCCCTTGTTTCATCATCTCCTGAGAAAGGCCGCCAGTCCCCACATCCCGCCCCGGAGGCCACTACCCTCTGTGAGCCCCGTTAAGGTGATGAGGAGAGCTATTAAGCAAATTCATTATTGACTATTTCACATTAGATTCCATTTTTTTCCCTTTGATGCCAACACAACTAATAAAAATGCACTTTATCTTCTTGGATTTATGGGATCGTAAAGCTGCTTTCATGTACCTCAGGGAATTGGGATTAAAGGAGAATTAAACATCTCCAGTGCAAAGCCCTCGCAGGTAAAGAGAGTGGGGGGAGGAGTGGCAGGGGGTGGGGGTGGGTAGGAGAAGGAGAAGAGTGATTCAAGGACAAGAAATAAACTGAAGTAAAAACCTGGCAAAAATATGGCTTTAATATATTGTAAAAGAATAAAAACCTCATAAAAAGTTATCACCAGACATGAGGAGTTCGTAATGTCGCCCATTGTGGATTCTGGGGAGGAACTTTCTGGGAGATGAGAGTCATTAGGTAAAAGTAAGCTCAGAGCTGATGGTGAGATGCGGTGTGGATGGGGGCGGGATGGAGCCACAGGGAGAGGCAGCCAGCCTGGGCCACAGCCAGCTGGCCCCTCCTGGCCAGCAGCCCCCTTAACGGGAGACAGCAAATTCACAAGACAGGGCACTTCCCTCCCTGTTCCCTGCAGAGTCCCTCAGGGATCAGTGGCTGGACCCAGGGTCTGAAAATCTAATCCTGACTTTGGCCAACCAGCCATGAGATTCCAACAAAGCACTCAGTCTCTCAGTTTCTTATTTTCTTTTAACCAGGGCCAAACCCCCCTTGGCTACCTTCTTCCCAAAGTCATTGCAAGAACCAAGTAGAACAGGACAAAGAACCAAGTAGAACAGGGCAAAGCAGGTGAGCGAGCTTTCTTTGATTCAAATCAGAAATTTGGGAGCCATGCTGGCCATTTCCTTTTCTTCATCCCCAAATCTGGGCCATCACCAATCCTTCTGTTTCTACCTCCAAAATATACTTTCTTCTCCCTTTCTCCAGCTCCAGCTCCCAGGTGCAAACTGCCTTTATTTCTCGCCTAGTCCATTGCAATATAGTCCTCAATAGCATCCAAATTCATTCCAAATTCATTATCCACACGACCACTGGAATGATCGTGTAAAAATGCAATCAGATTATGTCATTCCCCACTTAAAACTCATCAGGGGCTTCCCACTGACCTGAGGATAAAGTTCAGAATCCTACCCTGGTCTAGAAAGCCTAATCCAGCCAGGCTTGTGTCCTCACACTCATTCTGCTCTCTCTGGGCCACCTTTCTGTCCTCTGCCACACCAAGCCTCTTCCTGCATCTGTGCCTTTTATGCACACTCTACCTTCACTTAGAAAGTTCTCCCTGACTCTTGGAGTGGTCACCTGCCTCTCTACTAATCTCAATTCAAATGTCACTTAGAGAGTTCTTCTCTGACTTCCAGTCAAATATAAGCCACCTGTGTTCTGACATCTACATAACTTACTATACATTACGATTTGAGTTATATATTTACTTGTGTATTTAAATTTAATATATGACTCTGTGACTAAATGTAGCCCTTTGAGGGCAAGAAGTATGCCTTTTTGTAATTAATTACAACCCAGAACTTAACACACAGCCCAACTCACAGTCTGCCTCCAAATAATATATAAATTGAGCAAAAGAAAAATTTCCACCCAGAGGAGTCTTTCCCTGGCACCAGGGCTTGCATGAGTGCAGTGGTACCTTGGCCAGCCTTATTCCACAGATCTGTGCCATGCCCAGCTCACTTTTTCCTCTTACCTTGACCTTCTCCTTAAGTTACATACAATGTCTGGACTACTCTCACCACCCCTTCTCCTTTCCCTTCATGTGGATAACACTGGGTCTCACTTTCAATGAGTCTTGCTCTCAAATCTCTGCTGTGGTTTGTAGACTAGATTAGGTCTCCCTGCTAACCATAAGAGTCCCTAACATGTCTGCTCATCACTCATTCAACAAATATTTATTTCCATTTATTTGAATAACGATGTGCCACACATTGCTCTGGGTATCGGAGATATACCAGTGAACAAAACAGACAAAAATTCCTGAGCTTTCAGGGCACAAATGTCACACACATAGACACACAAGGATTGCAAGCTTCTTGGGAACATTGAAAGTGCATTATATTTTTTGGTATTTGTTAATTTAGTCCTTCCTTCATTCATAAAACAGATTTTTCTTAAATGCCTATTTTGGGGTCAGACACTCTGCTAAAGCTCTAAGGCGCTATTGGCAAAATGATTACACATGGTCCTGGCCCTGTGTATCGCAGGATGTAAGGGGAGAGATAGACACTAAAGATGAAAACACAAATGAACAGCAGGTGCTTGGAAGAGAATAAATGGGAAGATTTAAGAGAGAATCGTAAAGAAAGGTTCTAGTTGAGATTGTGTAGTCAAGGAAGCCTTCTCTAAGGCAATTGCATTTAGGATGGGATTGGAAGGGGACAAGGAGGATAAGAAGGAGCCAGCTACACGAACAGTGAGAGGAAGGACATCGATGACAGAGAGAACAGCCTACGCAAAGGCCCTTAGGCAATAAAAGCTGGCACACCTGTGAGACTAGAAGAAGGCCAGTTTGGCTGTAGATAGTGAGTGAGGAAGAGAATATGGTAAGAGACGGAGTTGGGAAGGTGGTCAGTGGCTAGATCCCATAAGACCTTCTGGGTCATGATAAAGATTTGGGGTTTTGTCCTAAACACAACGGAAAGCCATTGGAATGTTTTAAGCAGTCACTATGGAATATTTTAGGATAAACGTAGAAATGGAGAAACCAATTAGAAGATTTTTTTCAGCAGGTAAAAGGTGATAATGTCTTGAGTCAGGGTGATGGTGTTAGAGATGGGATATCATTTTGGAGATTGAATCCACACGCTTTGGAACTATCTTGGATGTGGTGTTTTCACTGGCTTACCCAGTGGATGTGTGAAACAGAAAATTCAGCAACTTTTATTTCCCTGATGCACATCAACATGTGTAGATGCCCATAAAAACCTTTCCCAATGTACACCTCAATCCATCTTGTGGCATTTTATAATCATTTTTCCTTATGCCCTAGAATGATTAGCACCCCCAAGTGCTTTTATAATTAGTGGATGTGTTTCCTGTTTGTGTAGATGCCATCTTCATTCTAAGTAATTTTGGAATGCCTCAGCAAACTTCTTTGTATCTGAAGCCTGAACGTTTTTATTGGGATCCCTAAAGCTGTGGATAGTGTTGCTCTGGGAGACCTTGGGAGCCAGAGGTCTGGGACAATGTTGCTTTTGAAAAAACGAGCCAAAAGGAAGGGCTGATTGGATTCAGAGAAGAGATTGAATCAGGCTCGGGGAGGCTGAGTGATTTGGAACAAAAAGCACAGCCACCTTTTAGAAGCCAAGTAGATCCCTTTCCTTCCTGTAGTTTTCCTTCATCCATGACCATGATTAAGGACCTCCTATGTGCCTTGATGCTTTCCAACTGCTGGCAATGCAATGACAAAGAAAACACGTTTAGGCCGGGCGCTGTGGCTCACGCCTGTAATCCTAGCTCTTGGGAGGCCGAGGCGGGCGGATTGCTCAAGGTCAGGAGTTCAAAACCAGCCTGAGCAAGAGCGAGACCCCGTCTCTACTATAAATAGAAAGAAATTAATTGGCCAACTGATATATATATAAAAAAATTAGCCGGGCATGGTGGCGCATGCCTGTAGTCCCAGCTACCCGGGAGGCTGAGGCAGAAGGATCACTCGAGCCCAGGAGTTTGAGGTTGCTGTGAGCTAGGCTGACGCCACGGCACTCACTCTAGCCTGGGCAACAAAGCGAGACTCTGTCTCAAAAAAGAAAAAAAAAGAAAAGAAAAGAAAACACGTTTGTGGGTAAAATGCTTTAAAAGGCTAAAAATTTGTGTATGAAATATAAAGCATATTGCAGCCACCTCAAGTACGAAGGGTGCAAGATCAAAAACTTGGGTCCCCAGGGAGGACTTTTCTGTGAGCCACCGACTGTTCACTTGACTCGTCCATGTCCCACTCAACAGAAAGATCGCAGCTTTGAGGAAAATTTCTTAGCGATCAGCTCATGTGATTTATGAGTTTATGGTTCTACGAGGCATCTGCACGTTGGGGCATAGATCTCAGTAATTAATCCTAGGAGGTCCCTAATGACAGAGGAGATTGTGCTGTGTGAAAGTTGCTTTAGTACTAAACAGCTTGTGTTATCTAACAAATGAGAACATTTCACA